TACTTTCAATTATCTCATGTTCTCCCATTGGTAATACTGGGCCCAGTTGAGTAAGCTACTTCAGCCCCACTGCAAAAGCTCCTCCTTCCTCTGTCCGAACCCCCATTGGGCTCTTGGAGAACCAGCTATAGAAGGGCCTTGGTGCTGCCAAATCTAACTTTAGAAGGGACCTCTGGTTTTTTGGTGGGGACTTCCCAGGAGGCACTTTATGTGGCCTTTATCACAGCTTGCTCCCTTGCAGACAGGGAAAGTGGAGGGTTGCTCATCTAGATGTGCAAATCATTTTTCAGAAAATGCTAAAGTTCGATGAATTTAAGGCATCTTTGTAACATTAATATATTAAAATTATAGTTTTAAAAATACAATAAGGATATAAAATATAGCCATCGAATAATAATTTTATTTGAAAAGCTACCATTGAATTTCTATTTTGTCTGCATCCCTCTTCCTCTGACACTGGGAGAACACCTAAGTCAGATAAGGTGGCCTGCTCTTTGATCACTTACTGAACAAACAAGGCACTTGCACTCTCTACCCTCTCACCTGTCAAAATCACTTGGCTGTCTTTTGGTTTCTCATTTCTAAGACTGATTTGGAAAAGTGTCACTAGGTGACCATGCAATTGATAAAGATAATGAAAATATTCCAAAATAGCTATTTTGCTTTATATATCATCTTAATTGTTTTCCTGCCAAAACCAAATTGGCTTTTGAGGATAACGGTCCATTAGGCAAATATTCCAAATTCTGATACTATGCATACATCAGTGAAGGGATTTCAAGAAATAAATATCAAAAGATAACTAAAGTAATGAATTCTAAGATATTAAGGCTATAGATAGTTCACATTGATCTCATCCATTTTTTATTTCATAAATGTTTGAATCCTACTAAACTATTGAGAAATATTTATCACAACAAAAATATGTCAAATGATTGAAATGAGGGTTACAGTTATTTGGTTTGGCTACTTTACTTTCTCTAGTTCTGTCATTGTACTGTCAGTATTTTCAAGAAATAGATTTGTTTTGCTTTAGCTTTGTTCTATTAACATTTGAGTGAAATAAAATATCCTCCTCTATTTTTTTGAAAGATTTCAGCAAATATCAACATAGTATTTCTTAGCCAGATGGATTTTCTGATCTTTAAAATCTGGTCTAGAAACTAAAAATCTCATGACTTCTCAAATTATCCGGACCAGAATGTGATATGACTTTGAAACTGAATACAAACAAAAACTATTATTCAGGCTGATTCCACAACTTGGGGAAGGTGGGGCTGTTGTGAACTCTGAGATGGGAGAATTTCTTTCCTCACATACAATTCATGGCAGAAGGTTTATGTTCCTTCCCTCCAAAGTTTCCATTAGAGATCTGGAAGGGAAGAATATGGCTCACTACATTGGTTAAGCACAAATAATTTTTTCCTTATTATCTGCCCCCTTGTTAATGCACAATACTATATGCAGTACGATATCAAAGTGGTTACTGCTGCCTTAGATCTTCATCTACTTCTCTAAACTAGGTTTTCTTCCTTGTAACAGTACAAGGAGAACATTAATTTTTAAAAAGTATAATACTATAAATGTATTCATATTTATATATATACCACACCCTCCATGGGTCTCATATGAAGGAATAGTTGAAAGGTAAGAGCAGAGCTGGCTTTGTAATCTGTATAATACTAACTAAATATTGATGTAGCAAATACATTCAGATTTCTGGTTTTGTTTTTGCTTTTTTTTTTTTTAAAGAACATTTTAGTTCCGATTTTGGTGAAATTTTTGCTGGAAAAGTTTCTTTAAATCTTCCTTAAATGCACTTTAGTATAGATTGTTTGAACTAATATTTGTAATTACTCATTGAATTTGTTTCAGAGAGCCATTCATTAATATCAGGAGTATTTTCCATCAGTAATTCCCCTTTAAAATTTTTTCCAATGATTCAAATAGGCAGTGATGTAAGCTTTGATGATAGATAAAAATGTGTCCATGATACATTTATTTTGTTTTAGTTCTGACCAAGGAACATTTAATTCAACAAATCCAATGTGTTCTAATTATTTCAATTCAGCACATACATTTTCTTTAGAGTAATGCAAATCATTTCCTCTGGCCATCTTTGACATTTGGCTCTCTACTTATTCAATTCAAACTTCGTGATTTTATTTCCTTCTTTGACAAATCCCTAATAGAAGCTGTCAACTGTTTCAAAAATCTTTACTAATTTTGAAGCTTTGAAGCAACTGAACCTAATGCTCAAGATGAGATGACTCAATCACAGGCTCTAAACTTCCTGTCTGTATTATTTTTACATTAGCCACCATCCTCAAGTACCATTTTCCCCCCTCTTTTCACTTACCCTTTGGCTATAGTAGGTGTAAATTATACGATCACTTCAGTTCTACCCTTACTTTAATTCTCTCTTTAATCTTTTTCATGCCACACCCTTCCACATGCACAGGGCAGCTCCTCCTAAAGTTGGGCACCTGATTTTTAAAATTCTATGTATCAAACAGGCAAAATGTAGCTAATAGAATGCTAATCATGTGCATACCACATGGTTGGTATCCTTAGTCTACTAGATAGATCATTGGTTGGAAACTTTTAAGTGCGGACGGTTGAAATCCCTTTGGGCCTTCTTGTCTCAGGGAAAGTTGTCTTAATTAGGACCCTTTTGTTAGAGTTGGTAAGAGGTAGGAGGATGGTCTCTTTTGACCTTTCCTTTAGCTTTTCCCCTGGCCAAATCTCTGGCTTAGTAATCACACTCTGAAACATAGATGAGTGATGAGGAGAAAGCTCTCCCTCCTTCCCCTCCTCCTCAAAGGCCAATTGGCAATCTTAACTGGGCACAATCCTGCCACAAGCCATAGATTATCAACCTTGCACTATATGTCATAAGGCATAGTACAGGAGTTAGGTTGATTTTCTCATTAAGTTCAGTTCATCTTGGTTTCCTTAAGATTACTACTGCTAAGGCCCAGACCCTAAAAGGTATGTATGACCCTAATATTTGTTCCTATGCCATGTTATTTTGACTGGTTAACTTGGAGAAATTTGTGTATAAAGTGTGACTAGAAAGCAACAAGACTGGTTTTCATATGTGATTTATGGACTCAGTCTCATTATTTGTAGTCATACCATATATCTTATAGCATTTTGGAAACGTAGGATATTTTATATAGGTAGATACCGTCAACTTTTAGTAATCTATGTCAGCAAAATAGAATATTAGAATATGTATCCCACCCAGCTGGCCTGGAGCTATGATCTTACCTGTGTAGCGAGATTTTCTAGCAAGAGGATTGGGGCTGGCCTTATAACTCAGTAGACCCCAAAGGAACCTTGGTCATCAGGATTCTTTTGGTCTAGTGGGGTAGGTACCTGCTCTCTCCCCCCTGCAAATTTCCTTGCCATAGCTCACAATCAATCAATCAGTCACTCACTCAGTAAAAAGCAGCAAAGGTGCAGAAATTGCTCCTGGCAAATGTATATAATCTATAGTAAGAGTAAAAGTGTACACTGATAAGTGGGAGTTTGCTGTATGTTTATGTAACTGACATTTACTAAGTGTGTGGGATTTTTTTGGGGGGAGGCATTGTTGATGTGCACTTCAATAAACATATGCTTTTTTTAATGTTGGTTGAGAAGAGCAAATGAAATTGATTCTCAAAAGAATAAAACTATTTGGTCATGCAACGGTTTAGGCATTTTGTGAACCTAGTCTCTTAGTCAACTTACTGGTACACTATCTACATATCTTGGAATGTTTGTCATAGTGGATTTTCTATGGTACTTAGTAGTCAGTTATGTTAAATGTGTATCTCAGAAATATGTGATTAGGTTCTGTTGTGAGTGTAGAGGCTCAGAGGCCACAATTGGAAGGGTCAGAGTAGCACTGTACTCACAAATGTCCATGAAAAACTCATGATTCCTTTCCTTCCACTCTCTGAAGCTTTCTGCTGTAAAGTCAGGATCATCCAGAAGGCTGTCGATAACTATCAGGTCTCTTTCTTTTGCCTGTCCAATGTCAAAAATACACAAAATGTCAGGACTAGGAAATGTGTTATATTACAGGTTAGTCTTTATTTACTTTGTGTTGAGGAAAGATATGGTATACCTCTACCAAAAAGACAGAAAGTTATGTTGGGACAAAATGTTATCTTTCTCCTACGTTTCCTCACCTCAAACTCTTTCATTGGCCAACATGGGGTTATACTGGAAATGAAACAATAAATACCTTACAAGTCAGTTCCATCCTATCATCAGATGACAGTGCCAATAAGAAGATCAGTTAATGACAATCATGATAACTGGTCAGTATTTTTTTCCCAAAACTTTAGGAGCATTATTCACTAACTCCTATTTGTAAATTCTTTCTGTCTTCTTTAACTTAATACTAAATCTCTTGCTTCATTATATTTAACTTGATTTCCACAGTGTATGATTTGTAAATTGTAAGATTTTAGAGATTATAATTCTATAATTTCAAGCTGTGAGTAGAAAAACAGAGAAGATGACTTACTTTTAAAGTACTCCTGAGCGCTCGGATGTGATGAAGTTTTTGATTGATAAATGGATCATTGCATCGCTTTATAAAAGACCTCCTGAATTCTTGCTTAGTAGAAGGATGATGTTCTCCAAAGGCTGACAAACTGACTTTTTCCAAAGACCTGTACAGTTCTTGTAACCCATCAGAACTATCGCTTTTTTCCTTTGCATTTTCTGAAATACAGTTCACAAGTTCTTTTTACCTCCATGCAGAAAAATTTTGGTTTGGAAAATTAAGGACCCCGATAGATAAGAATTTCAGCCACACATATATTGTCGAAATTGAAACACAATGCCAGTCTGAGGGATTAGTGATGACACAAAGAAAGAATATAGTCATCCTCCCAGTGACAAGGACTGGCAAAAAACACATCGACGATATAAAAATCAAAGACAATATTTAGTTCAGAATACTTGCATCTCAGAAGTTTTTTAAAGACTGCAGTGTATAATGCTGGGGCCTGATGTTAAGATAAGAAAATTTTCCATTCTCAGTCAATAAATTGAAGAAATACGAAGTCGTAGCGAAAAAAAGGTTGCATCGATGGCTACTTTAAGAATTGATCCATCTAGTTTCTACTATGCATCAAAAAGGGTGATATTTAGGTCACCGATGATATTCTCAGCTAACAGACTAAAAGGTTTTATAAGCACAGAGAGCAAATGATTGAAAAAATGTTGTTTTTAAAGGTGGATTTAGTTCCATTGTTGGGCAGTACTGTAAGCTTTGAAGTCCAGACTATTTCTGTGGTTACAGAAATGATGTCAGCCTCCAAGGTTGTTGATCAAGAACTTCCAGAAGCGTCAAATTTTCCTAGGAATACAAGCAAACCACAACATGACTAAATATGGTCTTTCCACTTGCACACCTCAGGAAAGGATTAGACCAGATTCTGGACAGCAAGAATTCTCCTTCAGTAATTAATGGGTTTGCCCTTAAGAAACACATAGGCCATGGTTCCAGGAAACTGGCTTCTAGACAGAATTGGAAGCCAAAATGGCTACTAATAATTTTGTATCTCCTAACAGCAATTTATATTTTTAATAACTGAAACAAGAGAAAACAAGAAAAATGCTTAACCTCTCTGAGCCTTAGCTGCTTCTTCTATAAGAATGGGGCAATTGGATTAGATAGTCTTAAAAGTCCTTTCTAGTTCTGACATTTTATGATCTACTTTAAATTTAATACCCAACATATTTGACTTAAGTATTAATCCCATTATTGAACAGAATAAAAATCACAGAATTCATACCTTTTGAGGTATGAATTAGTTGTAGTTGTTTTCAGGCCACTAGAGTGTCAATGTTTTGGTGAAGATAGAAAATATTCTCTCTTCTCACCAATAAGATCAGGCTCATAATCCTAGTCATCCTTTAAACTAGAGGTTCTTAACATTTTTGGGTTCATGGACTCCTCTAGCAGACTGGTGAAATTTATAGACCCATACTCAGAATCATTTTTTAATATATAACATAAAATGCATAGACTTAGAAAGGAAACCAATTATATTGAAATAAAATGTATATTTTCCCATCCAAGTTCACAGACTCCAGATTAAGAACCCCATTTTTAGGTTAGCAGATAGTGGGGATAAAACCCCCATTTTATTGGTGGAAAAACTGAGGTGTGGCAAATAGTTGATCCAGTTAGTTAACTAAAGGATCCCCAAAGGGAATACAGGATTCTAGACCTCAGCATCTGCATATCTTTAGGGCTTTATACTTTTAAAATTCTTATTAGCTAGTTTTAGATCATATCTGTTCAATTTCATCAGGGTAAAAAATAACCTTTTTGGAAATGACCAATTTCCAATTTATAATTATGATACAGAAATCAGTCCTCCATTAAAGAATTAATTGTAGTCATGAAGATCATTCTGGTTTCTCAAAAGCTAATTCAGCAAAGCTCAAACTCTGGTAGATCTTGTTAATCTACAAAAGGTAGGCCTGGCAACAGACTGTGTTTCTGTTGTGTGAGGAGCAGCCTAAGTTTAGGGAGACTCCATCACCAAAAAGATGACCAGTAGGTAGAGAATTCTTCTTGATCACAGGGTGCCATGAAACTATTAAGGCATGAAGGCATTTGGGAAATGAAGAGAGAAGTTCACTAAAATGCATACCTTAGTTTGAATTCTCTTTGGTATCTCTACAGTTAAAATGAACTTAGCTGTTCACAGAAGTGCGAAGGTATTCATTTGAATGGACTTTGTTGTTAATGGAAGTACTAAGGTGTTCATTTGAATGAACTTAGCTGTTCACTTCAAATGAACTTAGCTGGTCACTGAGGTTTTAAGATGTTTGGGAAGAGAAAAAACAATTCATAAATATAGTATCTGAGAAAGCAATTTAAATTTTGGGACCATAGCTTATAATATAGAAGTGATAGGCTTTTGGCCAGGGACTGAGTGTTCCCAGCAAAGGCTAGTAAAAATATATGTTTACTTTGAGTCTTACAAATCTATGGAGCTTTATAGCTTCAAAGGATGGAGTAGGGAGAGAACCGCCTAGGTTTACCTTCCAAACTAGATGCTATACAGAGGAGCTACAACACAATAAGAACAGCAATAGAGATGTGGCAGAGAGAATACTGGATTTGGAAGCAGAGGACCTACGTTCAAGTCTAATCTCAGACGTCTAATCTTGAGGTCTAATCTTGTGACCCTGGGCAAGTCACTTAACTTTTCTGGGACTCTTTCCTTCTCAATAAATGGAGGGAATTGGACTAGATGGCCTCCAACATACCTTCTAGGTCTATACCTGTGATCCTTTGACTTGGAATGGAATCCTGGAGATGCCATTTATCACCTGTATAAAACTGGGCAAGTAATTTTCCCTCTGGGCATTAGCTCCTTCATATATAAAATGAGGTGGTTGAACTAGGTAACGTCTCAGGTACTTTCTAGTTTGAAATTTATGATCTCTTCAAACTGACACAAAACAAAACCCACTAAAGGAGCTAACAGTAAAATTTATGGCTTCCCATGTCTCTATACAATTGTAGTGAGTATGGGTGAGAAACCATATGAACTGAAGATATTAAAGCAAGAAAACAAATTTGATCTCATAGATATTTCTGAGATTTGGTGAATGGGACACATGATTGGAATATGACTCTGGAGGGGTTTCTTATTGAGAAGGAGTAGAGTAGGTAAAAATGTGGCAGAGCAGAATAACACTCCATATTAAGAAGATAAGAAAATCTAGGAACCAGAGAGGGGGAAGCCTGGTGGAGAGCAACTGTGTGAAGGTCAGTGGAGGCAGGAAAAGAAGTGATATTGTCATCAGGATGTACTACAGACCATCTGGACAAGAGAAGTAAGTAAATAGATGAAGAGTTTGGGAAATATCACAAGCCTGATATGGAGGAGTTATCATAGTAATGGTGGAGGATTTCATTTATGCAGCTTTCTCCCTCTGCTCAAATCAGAGTAGCTAATAATATTTTGGCTGTTTCCTAATTTTAATTTAATTTTTTTAAAAAAGGAGCCAATGAAGGAACTGTTGTTATTATTCTTACTAATAAGTCAACAAATATTTACTAATAAGGAGGAAATACTACTACTATTACTATGACTACTATTACTAATACTAATTAACATTCATATAGTGCTTACTATGTACCAGGCACTGTGCGAAGTGCTTTAAAGTTATTATCTCATTTGATCCTCACAACAATCTTGGGAGATAGTTGCAAGTATTATCTCCATTTTACAGTTGAGGAAACTGAGGCAAACAGGGGTTAAGTGACTTGCCCAGGGTCACATGGCTAGTAAGTGTCTAAGGCTCGATTTAAATTAAGGTCTTCCTGAAACCAGGTCCAATACTCTATCAGATAGAGTCTATTCACTATGCCACAATAACTTTCTGGGGTGGAAATGATGGGAGCATTGGGAGAAAATGGCCTCTCTTCAACTTAGAATTTGTGATGGAGAAGAAAAGGACAGCTATACATAACCTGATACACACTCTAGATTTTGGGTGAGCATATTTCAAAGGCTTCAGAGAAAGAACAGGTAGGATCTTGTGCAGGCCAGAATTACATAGACAACTCAAGAGGAATGAAATTCTGAATGTACAAAGAGGAGAAAAAATTCAGTGAGGAGGAAAAGTGGAAATTGCCTGAAAAGAATGATGTGGAGACATAGGGAACTCATCAACTTAGAATTAAAAATAACAAATATAGAAGATGGAAGCAAAGATGGGTAAAAGAAGTCAAATATGAAAGTGTGGCATGGTCCAGGAAGAACAGTGTCAGGAGTGCTAAACCTCAGATTGATCTGGTAAGGAAAGCTAAGTACAACATAAAAAGTGTGGTTGTTTTTTTTTTTAAAAGCTATTTTGGGCAAAAGAGGAAGATCAAAGAAGGGACAGGATTGGTCTCTGGGATAGATGGGGCAATGATACACAGATACTCTTACTTCCACTTTCTCTCCCAAGGAAAATGTTGAAAAAAACCCAACAGAAATGGCTAATAGGGAGTTGATAAGTAATGGAATAAAAAAGATAAGTAAAGGAATTGTAAAAACACATTTAGCTGTCCTTAGTGAATGAATTAAAGTAATAAAGGCAGATTAATTATGTTCCAAGGGACTAAAAGAACTGGCAAATGGGATCGGTGCGTCATTGTTAGTACTCTTTGAAAGATCAAGGAAAATGGGAGAGAAGCTATAGGGATGGAGAAGTACAATTGTCCTGATGTTCAAAAAAGGGACGAGAGTAGAATCTGCAGTTGATAGAATTGTGTGTTTGCATTTACTTGTGTTTATTTTATATTTACTCAAATGAGCTGTTTACATGTTGTACCCCTTAGAAGAACATAAGATCCTTGTGGACTGAAGTAGTTGGTGCCCAATAAATGCTTTTGGAATTAAAATGAATTGGGCTTGATTTTGATTCCTGGCAAAATTCTAGTATGTATTACGAAACAAAAAGGCCAAAGAATATCTATAAAAGGGAAGCAGCTATCAAAAAGATGCTTGTATGGCTTCCTTCTTCCAGAGCTAGGCCCATTTCTTTTTGACAGGACTACTAGACCCAGGGAAAGCTATAGATATTCTCTCATCTCAATTAGGAAGGGACCTCAGGGGCCTTGAGTCCAACTTCGACCTGAACAAGAATGCCTTCAACTTCACATGTAACAGTCATTTAGCTGTTGCTTTGAGTCTTTTACCAATAAGACACCTACTTCCTGCTTAGACAGCCCATTCCACTTTTGGATAGCTTTCATTGTTGGGAAGTTTTTCTTTATGTGGAACCTACATTTTTGTCTGTAAAGCATCCACTCATTTCTCCTCACCCATTCTTTGTGCTCAGCCTCAGAACAAGTAAATCTCTATTCTACAAGACTGCCCTTTGGAACCTTAAAGACTCCTATCATATTGCCCCTAAATATTCTCTTCTTCAGGCTAAACCCAGGATCAGAGGACCATAGGTTTGGAGCTGGAAGGAAACTTAGAGCATATCTAGTTCAACGCTCTCACTTTATAGATGAGGAAATGAAAGGCCATGGAGGTGAAGTGACTTGCCTAGTCACACACATAGTAACAGAGGTAGAGTTTGAACCCACATTGTCTGACCTCAAATTTAGGGCTTCTTCCACTGTTATTATTTGCCTCTCCCAGTTCCTTTAACCAATCTTCATATGACATGAATTAAAGGCCCTACACTATCCTGGTTATCCTTGTCTGAATGAGCTCAAGTTTATCTATGTCCTTCCTAAGACCTGACACCCAGAAGTGAAAACACAGTCCAGATGTGGTCCAACTGAACTATTACATCCCTAGTCTTTTGCACTGCATCTCTCTTAATGCAGCCTTAATGCAGCTAATCGCATTAGCTTTCTTTCACGTCAACAGGTATTTATCAGACATTTACTATATTCCAGACACTATGTTAAGTGCTGAAGATACAAAGAAAGGTGAAAATATGGGCTCTGTCCTCAAGGAGATCACATGCTTGGTGGTCATACCATAATCCTGGCTCATGTTAAGCTTGCAATGCACTAATCCCACTGCCTTGTTCCGATCTTTGTTTCATATGAACTTCTTTCTAGCTATGCCTTGCTATCTTGTATTTGTGAAGTTGATTTTTTGAAATCAAGTGAAAGACTTGATTTAATCTAATCTAATAAGGTGAAATTAAATAGGGATAAATATAAAGTCTTACGTAGGATATGGGGGGAACCCTAAATATCAGAGAAATCTCCATACTGGGAGTTCCCTACACTGATAAAATCATAGGTCCAGACCAAAACAAAATAGACCTTGCTCTTACTTTGTCGAGATTTTTTTGGATTCTAACTCTAGCACGTGGTGTGCCAGATATCCATTCTAAATTGTGTCATATGTTCAACAGCAGAAGGCCAAGGAAAGATCTCTGAACCACTTCTACTTGGGAACTTCCTCACAAATATGAATTGAACTGTTGATGATTACTCATTGGCTTTGGTCATTCAATCAATTCTTAGCCCACCTAGCTGTTATTCCTGTTTACCCCACATCTCTCCATCTAGTCCATGAGAAAAATATGAGAAGCTTTAACAAATCCTTTGCTAAAGTCTAGGTAAATTATATCTATAGCATGCATACTGTTGGTGGAGTTACGAATTGATCTAACCATTCTGGAGAGCAATTTGGAACTATGCCCAAAGGGCTACAAAACTGTGTATACCCTTTGAGCCAGCAATATCACTACACTAGGTCTGTATCTCAAAGACATTTAAAAGAGGGAAAAGGACCTATTTGTACAAAAATATTTATTGCTGCTCTTTTTGTAGTGGCTAAGAATTGGAAATCAAAGGGATGCCCATCAATTGGGGAATGGCTAAACAAGCTGTGGTATATGATTGTAATGGAATATTATTGTGCTATAAGAAATGACGAGCAGGGTGATTTCAGAAAAACCTGGAAAGACTTACACGAACTGATGCATAGTGAAGTGAACAGAACCAGGAGAATGTTATACACAGTAACAGCAATATGACTTAGCTATTCTCAGCAATACAATGATCCACGACAATCCCAAAGGACTATTGATGAAGCATACTATCTACCTCCAGAGAAAGAACTGATATTGATTGAATGCAGACTGAAGCATGCTATTCTCACATAACCTGCACATGTATAATCTATATCTGATTGTTCACCATCTCAGGGAGTAGGGAAGAGAGGGAGGGATAGAATTTGGAACTCAGAACTTTAAATAAAAACATTTAAAAAAGATTTTTATCAGTGACTTGTATAACAGCATAGATGACATTCTCCTAAATTTTTCAGCTGACAAAAAGCTAGGAGGGAGAGCTAATGCTAAGTTCTTTGAGGACAAGTGTTGTTTGGTTTTGTCTTTGAATGCTCAGCACCCAGCATAGGGCCTTGCATAGCAAATGCTTAATAAATACTTGTCAAATTCCATTGCATTGAATTGAATGATGAAGTGAGGATCCCAAAAGATTTCAAATTGATAGAGCACTGGGTAGAAACTAAGAAGATGAAATTTAATATGGACAAATATACTTACAATGGGCCCAAAAAATTAACTTCACACACATACCAGATGGAGTCGTATGTCTGAACTAGCTAAATACATGGGTATTTTTGTTCAGGTAGAGATTGGATTGATGGCCTCCAAGTCAGATATTTTGAGTGGTTGTGATTAGAATTGGTGGAAGGAATAAACAAACCAATGAAATTAGAGATTTTTTGAAGCATATATAGGATCATAGGATTTAGAGGTAGAAGGGAACTTAGAGAAATCTAGTCCATCGCCCATGACACAGCTGAAGCTCAGAGAGGCTAAGTGTCTTGTCTAAGGTTATATAGCTAGCTAGTGAGTAGCAAAGGCAAGATTTAACCTTTACTGTCTCAGCCTCAGTGAAATCCTCAGAAAGGCTCAGCAAATCCCTACAAAGAGCAAATTACATTTTCTTCTGCTCCCATTGGCAAGGGCACATTAGGAAATAAAATGAGCTTGCTTATGGTCATCAAAGACATCACATGCTTGACAATGCCCTTCACAGAAAAACTTCTCCTTGCTTGTCCATGGTTTGCCATTCTGAGTTGCTTTAAGACCACAGATGACTAAGGAACAGAGTCCTGAAGAAAGCTGGATTGCGGAAACACAGAGGAACCTCCCCATCCTAATAGAGACTTTGCTAGATCCTCAACTGATGTCACAAAATACATTTGATGATGAAAATCCACTTTCTGGAAAACTCATTTATTTTAAGATGAACAAATCTTACCTTCCTCATCGAAACTATTTTGTTTCTTAATGAGAAATTGGTCTTCCTCTATCTCTGTTAACTCTGATGCCTTGATTTGACCTTTGCTCCTGACATCTCTATTCCGAGGCAGACTCTGACTACGTTGCTTTTGGGGCCTTGCATGGGACCCATGATCCTGCTGGTAGGGAATCAGTGGGAAAGGCCCTTCTTGGTCACTGATGTTGTATTTCTGGGCTGGCAGGGTTGCCTGTCGTCGCTTTTCAGGTGACAGGAGAGTTAGGCCGAACACATAATCGTCTTCGATAGGACCGGTTTGGAGAAAATGGAGCCCCGAACTTGTCAGTGGGGTCTCAATGAGGTCTTGCCAGGAGCGCCTTTCCCCATGGAGCCTTCTGTGGCTAGATGACTCCCTACTTCCTGTGGCTTCCTGTCGAGCCTCTTCAGTAGAAGAATAAGAATAGGTGGACTCACTTGAAAAGTGCCGACCATGTTTGGATTCCAGGCAAAAACCTGGGCTATGCTTGGATTCCAGGTATGGACTTGCACCTCGTTTGGTGTCCAGGAATGGACTGGCACCGCGTTTGGATTCCAGGTATGGACTTGCACCGCGTTTGGATTCCAGGAATGGACTGGCACCGTGTTTGGATTCCAGGTATGGACTTGCACCAGGTTTGGATTCCATGAAGGGACTTGCACCACGTTGGATTTCTGGGAAGGGACTTGTACCATGGTGAGTGGTTTCTCGGAAGGGACTGGCACCGTGTTTGGATTCCAGGTATGGATGTGCACCATGTTCCGGGAATAGACTGGCACCACGTTGGGGTTCCGGGAACCGACTTGCACCACGTTTGGAATCTGGAAAAGGACTGACACCACGTTGGAGGTCCAGGAACATGCTTGCACCGCGTTTGGGCTCTGGGAGTGCACTGGCACCACGCTGGGTTTCTGGGAATGCGCAAGCACCACGTTTGATTTCCAGGAATGGATTTGTGCCAAGTGTGGGATCCAGGAATGGATTGGCACCGTGTGTATGTTCCAGGAATGGACCTGCGCTACGTTTGGGTTCCAGGAATGGACTTGGGCCACGCTTGGACTCCAGGAATGGGCTTGGGCCACGTTTAGCTTCTGGGAATGGGCTTGGGCCACGTGGTGGTTCCAGGTATGGACTTGCGTGGTGTTTTATTTCTGGGAATTGGCTCGCGTGGTGTTTGCGTTCCAGGAATGCAGTCGAAAGGTGTGGGGGTTCCAAGTACGGATTCGAAAGATGTTTGGACTCTGGATATGGACTTGAAGAAGTGCCCTAAAAGCAAATGCAAGTATCAAATTAAAACATACTATCATAATAGAAGACTGTAGAAAAATATTGGATGGCCAATAGAATTAAATATTACATAAATATTTTTGAAAAACAGGTTTTGCACTTTTCACAGTTGAGACAATCAATTGAATTTAATGAGCACAATTAATTACCAATGGCCTCTTCTTATTTTGGATACAATATTCATCCCAGACTTACTGCTCTGAGACAGTACCAGCACACTCTACATGGTTACCAGGCTTGCTCCTAAGCCAGTGAGGGCCTTGAGAACGACATGGACATCCCCAGAAGAAACTGAGAACCACTGTTCCTTTTTCTTCAAGGGCTAGATTTTTCCAGTCAAACAAGCAAGGACAAAAAAACCTTCCAGAACTACAGGGTGCTGCAGAACCAAAAAAGGTTTTAAAAAAGTCCAAAGACATTCTGCTCAGCTAGTGTGCCATCTTAATTAAAAAATAACGAGGCAAAAAAAATCAGAAAAATACAAAGGGAGGGGCTTAACCTGTGTCCCAGTTGATAAGACAGCATCACATGGGTGAAAATCAAGCTGAACTTCCCCCATGTGATGCTGTTGCCTCAGTCTTTCTGCCTGTGGTTCTGGTCGTGTGAGGATCACATCATTCACGCTGGAGAAAAATCGGAAAGAAAAATAGAGAACGGTCCTATCTGCATTTACAAACGAATTCTCTGTAACCATATTTTAGCAGCTCTTTTTAATTTGGTACGAGTTTCTTTTAGATATTATATTTTAATGCCCTTTAAAAAAAAGTGATGGGAAGAAGAAAAATAAAAATTGACCTTAAAATGTTTTTGTTATAGCTTTACAAATTAACTTTTGTTTTAAACAAATGAGAATGGTTTTTGAAATTAAGTCCCATGGTTTCATTTCAAATAGCTTCTTGGAAATGCATTTGTTTATTCCTGGACCACATTTATGAGGTCCTTTCAACATTCATTTTATATATTTGAAAAAATACGCACATGGAAAAAAACCCCACACTAGCTTTATGGAGCAAAGTAAGGAGGAAAGAGGTCACTGGACTGCATCTCTTTGCCTTTTCTTCCATGGCTCAGACATGTCCTTGCCTTTAGCTTGCCCCAACTGGCTTCTAAGACCCTTTGGTCTGCTGGAACCAATGGTATCATTTTCCACTAAGGAGATCCATCCTGAGGTGCATGAGACCCTGCCTTGCAAAACGAAAAACCTCAAGCATTTCAAATACATTTAGAGCAGGTTGTCCACACTTGGCCACTGGGACCTTGTTTTAAGACGTGACGTTTTGTACTTACTGAGGATGGTCGATGACTGACACTGACATCATTGAGAGCCATGGCACCCTCCAGCCTCATGGTCAAAGAGCTTTCGGCATCATCATGATCGCTTTCACTCCAGTAATCTGATAAGAAAAAATTTAGGTCTGAGTTAAAGTATCTAGATGAGAGTACTTCTGGAGCTGATCATTTTTGTAGTGCTCTGCTGGGAACTGCAACTTAGAAGGAGGAAGAGTCTCTCTACTCATTCTCTTTTCCTAGCACAAACTGCTAATTCAACACACACACGGGGCAGAGCCGATGGTGACACTAATTCACTCAACTTCCTTGGAACATCCAAGACTGCAATAAAGGGCATTTTCCTCAGGCTATATTCTGGCTCTTTGGGGACATTTAAAGGAGATCAAAATTTAGGGGATGTTCAAGTTCAAGCCTGACATCTGCCATTCTCAGGAAAATGATGATTCAGAACTAGATTGTAGCCATAGATAGCCAGCATGATGCACTGGGCTTTCTCTTTACTAGAGCTCATTAATGTTATAGAGAATTCTACTTGACAACTACGTTGTGCTACTGAGAAATTGACCTCATTTAATTAAAAATAAATAAGTGCATCAAAAAGATGGTTTGGGGTACATACAAAGCCCAGAATCCTAAGTATTTGTATACAATCATCTACCTTTTTTCAAACTAAAATCATCAATATGAGTTTGAAATTCTACTTCAGAGCAACTGAGACAGAGAATCACTGAATTTATGAACTGGAAGGGTCTTTATCTAGCCTTTTTCTAGATAAGCCATTAGAAAGTCTTGGAGGGGAAGTGATTTACTTAAGGTTACACATCTAGATAGTAGCAGAACTGGACTTTGAATCAAGATCCCCTGGCTTCTGGACTAGGGCTCTTTCTACTACACTATGATCCCACTCAAAGAAAAGGGCATGGCTTTTGAAATATTGTACCTCCCTAAAGAAGTGACCTATTGTCAGGTAGTGTTATTATATTGAAGTTTTCTGTTTTAGAAATATTAAATTTTTTTAAAAAGATGAAATATATGACTGACCTTCCCATTCATGATGCTTCTGAAACTTCCTACCGTGACTGAAGCAAATGCCAATAACATTTGCAAGGACAGTGGTGCTGCCAGTGATACTCCCAAACACCCAATCACTCCACCATACAACCCGGTACGGTCTGGCTACTGGACAAATGCCCAAATACCAGAAAAGGCAATCCGACACTGCTTATACAACATAGTGAGAAAACATAAAATTGCAGACATACATATTCACTAATGATAATATATACATTCATTACGTAGCACATGAACATTTCTGTATTATTTTGTGAAAAAGTGTGAGTTGCTTTAGTGGAATTAGGAATCAGGGTATGGTTCCCATCTTGTCAGTGGAGGCTTTTTGCAGAGTATATAAAAAATGAGGAGAATTCAGAAGGCCCTTCTGAGAAAATTAAGTGGAAAATATTTGTTTAGTTGGTTTTTCCCTTATTTACACGTGTTGTCTCATAAACAAGGAACTAAAACCCTAAGAGCACATGTTAACTCTTCAAGCTGTGCTCTCAGTCAATGATATAGGATAAAACACCACCAGCATTCTGATTCAGCCATTGAATATGCTATTCAAAAGACAGCATCAATTTAAATTCCCTTTTACATCTTTGATTCCAGCACTTTCAAAAACCAATATTCTTTGAGATATTAGATTGGTCATTCATTTATAAACATCAATGTTCCAAACCTTTTCTTTTCTCCTTAAGCCTCCTACAAAACTCCTCTCTCTATGCTCTCAGCTGAAGTCTTTACCTCACACCTCAATGAGGAAATCAGAGTTATTTGCCATGAGCTCCCTTTTCTCTTTTCCTTCTTAGGAACTCTTCTTTCTCATCTTGCACTATCTTGTCATCATCCTCCATTAGTTTCTCTTTAACTCTAGTCTCTGATGTGGACTAGCTAAGGTGCATATAGCACCCTTGATTCTACCCTCCCCCATCTTTTCCAGTAGACTGTCCCCACTATCATCCCAGTCTTTAACCTCTCATATGTGAGGCAGCAAGGTGGCGCAGTAGAGAGAACACTGGGCCTGGGGTCAAGAACACTAAGTTCAATTCTGACCTCTGACACTAACTACATGACTCTGAGCAAGTCATTCAACCATTCGCTTCAGTTTCCTCGCCTGGAAAATTGGGGAAATAACAGCAGCTACCTTTCAGGCTTGTTGTGAGGAACGAATGAGATAATATATATATAAAAAGTGCTTAGCACAGTGGCTGGCATGTAGCAGGCACTACATAAATGCTTATTGCTCCCTACTTGTTGCTTCCCTGCTGCGTACAAACATGGCCAAGGTTTCCCCATCCTTATTCTCTAACTCCACCTCCGCATTAGACTCTACCATCCCTCTACCATCTTCTTGCTTTCCCAGCTAAACTCCTTGGTGCTTCTACTTCCTCTCATCTCATTTTCTTCTATTTTGGGAAGGGGGAGTTTTAAAGAAAATTTTCAATGTTTCAGTGACCCTCCTTTCGCCATCACTATTGCTAAATCCCCTGCCCCAATTAAAAACTAAGAAAAAGAGAGAAAAAACCCTTATAACAAAGAGTATTGTCAAGCAAAATGAATCTCCATGGCGGCCACATCCCCAAATGTCTGTCTCTTTCTGCACCTTGCATTTATTGCTTCTCTTTTAGGAGGTGGGTAACATGCTTCATCAACATGCTTCATCATAGGTCCTCTGGAGATGTGCTTGCTCATTGCATTATTCAGAGTTCCTAAGTCTCTCAAAGTTGCTTTCCCTTTTGCAGCATTGTTGTTACTGTATAAATTGTTCTACAGGTTCTTACTTCACTCGGCATCTGATCATACTACTCAGGATCTACTGAAATTGTCTCTTTCATCATTTCTTATGGTACAATAATATTTCAATCCATTCATAAACCACATTTTGTTCAGCCATTCTCTAGTTGTCTAAGAAGCAATCTAAATTCTAGTTCTGTGCTTTTCTGTTTTTCCTCTTTTAATCCTACCTTTGGGATCAGGATGTTTGTTTTGCTCCTGACTATTCCCTCCCAGTGTTACCTTCTCTCTTAATTCTTTGGGAGGACTGTGGATCTCCAAATTCCTAACAGTTTCTATGTTGAATTTGATCATTTCTACCTCAAACTCTGAGTGTGTGTGTGTGTATGTGTGTGTGTGTACATGTGTTCATCCCTCCTTTGTCCATTTCAGATAAGAGTGTGGTTCATTTGATGCTTATTTCTCCCCCCCATCTTCCTCAATGTTTGTATACTCTTCTTATATATTTCAGTTATGAGAAATAGCTAACTCTACCACATCACATCTTCATCCTTTTTATACTAGTATATTCCTCCTTTTACCTTCCCTTCTCTTTCTCCCCTTCAGATCCTTAGAACAGAAACAATATACCTTAAGGGCCTTTGTTTTGCTTATTTAACTTCCTCAGTACTCTTTGAAGACATTAAAGTTCTGAAGGGACACTTTTTTCTTCTCTCCCTGTTCGAATGCTAGCACTATGTCATCACACCGGTCTGGCCAGTTGGCCAGAATTTACCTTTCAAGGTAAATTTTCTTGTGCATGTATTTTAGAATTCCTACTTGGCTCTGATCTTTTAATCAGGAATGCTTAAAAATTAGGCCTCTATTCTAGAGGTGTCAAACACGCAGCCCAGGAGCCCTACACAGCCCACAATATGCATGAGTATGGCTTGAATCAGATTAAAGTATAATGGGAAATACTTAATAATAAAAATATAATAAACATAGATAATACTATGCTTCAGTATTAAATTTTAAAACCAAGTCAATATGCAGCCCATAGGGATCCTTATGTATAAATGAGTGGTTCACATTTGTATTAGCGTTTTTTTTTTTCTATTAGTGTTTGACACCACTACCCTACTCCATTAAAGATCCATTTTCCTCCATGGGATTATACTTAACTTTACAAGGTAATTTATTCTTGGTTGTGAATTTATCTTTTTTTTTGCCTTTTGCAACATTGTATTCCAAGATCTCTGGTTTAGTAGAAGCTGCCAGATCTTATATGATCCTATCTGTATTTCTCTGGTACTTGAACTCCTTCTTTCTGGATGTTTGCAGTATTTTTTCTCTGACTTTTGGCTATGGCATTCCTGAGACTTTTCCTTTGTGGGTTTCTTTCAGGATGTTATTAGCAGATCCTTTCTATCTTCACTTTGGCCTCTGATTCTAATAGATCGTGGCAAGTTTCATTTGTAATTTCTTGAAATACAGTGTCCAGGCCTTTTTTTTTAAAAATCATGGTTTTCAGATAGTCCAGTGATTTTCAAATGATCTCTCCTTGATCTGTTTTCCAGGTCAGTTACTTTTTATAGCAGATATTTTACATTTCTTCATTTAAAAAAATCTTTTGATTTTGTTGTAATATTTCTTGTAGTCTCATGAAGTCATTGATTTCTGCTTGGTCTATTTGGGTTTCAGGGAATCCATTAATTGGGTAAGGTTTATCACTTTTTCTTCTGAGCTATTTATTCTCCTTCCAATTCTTTCCTCCAGAGTTTGTATTTAATTTCTTACCGCTTGTTTAATTTCTCTTAGGTATTCATATAGCCCTTATAAGAAATCCAGCTCTCAGGGAGAAAACTTCCTTTACCAATAGATACTAGCACCTGCTTTCAGTTTAGTCTTATAGAGTTGCCTGGGACACTGAGAGATTACGTGATTTACCCAGGTCTCAACAGATAATATGTGTTACAAGTAGGACTTGAACCCAGTTTTTCTTGACTCTACAACTTGCTCTCTGTCCGCTGCGTATGAACATTTTTACATTTACGTTTATTAAATACATCATATGGAAAAGACTCATGTCCATTATTTACCTGATCATGCAGTATGTATAAACATACCACTGGATAGAAGCATGTGTTCGAGAAAACTTATGTTGAAATCATGTTTTTTTAAAATATGACTATTTCTACTTTTCTTGCCTTATTTCCTAAGTAAGAACTTAAGGCAAGAGATGATTGCCCTTACCTTCACGTGGTTGGATATCTTTTTCATCAGGGGAATAACCAATGGCTGCAAGTCCCAGACGGTTCATCCAGCTGATAAAATAATGAGCAAAATACACTTGTCACTAGACATACTTTAAGATACAAAATTATGGAGAAAATCCTGGAAGACTTAGTGAATACCAAATAGTCCTACTGACCCCTTAACAGAACAATACTTTTCTCATCGGGATAAGAATTGAAATGATATAGGGTAAAAGCCATGATTAAAGCAAATACATCCCAGTTTGATGTCAGTGCAAATTATGTAAGAATCTTTTTTAATCATTCGATCAAAGAACGTTTTTGAATCTAGCAAGTCATTGCTGGTGGAGTATTTCCTATGGTTTTTATGCTATTCCAATTCAAAAGGCTAAATGCCAATCTTCTTTGATTATGATGACATTCAAGCTTAAAAGAATTACCCTGATTACATCAAGAATTAAAAATTTCATTCATCATAATTTTAATGAAAATAAACTAGGATTTTTAAATGCTAAGCAATACCCAATACATGGAAAACACCTCAACAATCTGCATTTTGTAATGGCGAGTTAGAGTTTATACACACACACACACACACACACACACACACACACACACACACAGGACTTCTCCCCAAATTAGATCACTTTTCCCATTTCTGAAAATACTATCAACAAAACAAAAGTTCTAATTTGGGGACATACTTGTCCATTCAAACACAATTTTCATTTTGATAAATTATTTAACTGAAATAGTTCTTTTATAATCTTCCCATTGTAGCCAATACAGGACTTTACAAATAACAGACAGTTGCCAAGTACTTGACTTCCTGAATATCAGACACTAAACTGAGCTTGTTTTTTAAAGGAACTTATTTAAAACTAGAGAATTCTAGAGTTGGAAGGGACTAGCTTATTTAGGTCATGCTGGAGAAAACACGAAGGACAAATGGAGAATAGTTAAGTCAGAGCCCATGTTATAAAAATGGTATAGAACAACCCTAGCAATTCTAAATCATTTAGCAAAAGTTCCAAACCTGAATTCGTATAATTAAAAACAAATTGAACACTAGGAGTAGTCTTCACAAATTTTTTTTTCATACTTTAAGATTCTTTCCTATTGGTATATTTTGATTACAGAGGCTATAAAAGGTAAGATGGCATTGGCATAATAGCCCACTAACAGCCATTTCAAAGATTTTTTTCCAAAAATTGTCTTTAGTTCAGGCAAAACAAGCAATTAGGAATGGAGGTGGCAAAGAAAAACAGATACTTTAGCACCAAAGGAAATAATCCACCAGCAATGACTTGCTAGGACTGCCCACAACTGTGATTGTTTACATTCCAGTTAGAAATGTTCGTTGTAAATACAGTGGGGTTTTGAAGAGAGGGTTTTACGAATAATTTTAACCTGCTTAACCAAAAGGACCTAATCAATAATAATTTGTTGGATTACTAGGAAATTGAATAATTTTGTAAGATCATATTAGTCAAAAAATTCTGACAATGTCACTATTGAAGACAGCTAAATACTTATGATCCAGTTGCATGGTATCTTCTTAAAAAGAGAGCATGGCATACACCTCTTCCAATATAATCAAAACTCCTCACGTGGAAAGGTTCTGGCCCTGTATTCACGGTAAATATTACATATACTCTATTGCTTACACTTTGGCCTTCTGTTAAGTTGATGATCTACAGAAATCTGGATAGGTTTTTCATACATATTTTACAGATTATAGCATTTAGGAACGTCTCTTGGCACCACAAACAAAACTACCACAAAATACATTAAAAACCAAACCAAACCAAACTGAACAACTTCTATTTGCCAAAGTAGGAATTTTTTTTAAATGGACAGATGGAAAGTTGAAAACATTTTCAAACAGATGCTACTGCATCTGATCTCAACAGAAATATCTTGAATCCTATCATTTTATTTTATATTATAAATGAACTTGGGTCTTTTGACATTCAAGTTAGAACTGAACTCCTTTTAGCCCTTAAAAACTATGTCCCCCAAATATACATTAACGAGTAGTCCATCCAGCATATGAAGACGGTCTGATCATTAGTCTTTATCAAAAGATCTGTCCTTGAAGGTTATTGTTACAATCACAATTAACATTGAAGATCAGTAGGTCATTTGGCCATATGTGAAGAATTTCCTTCTGGAACACTACATTGGTCAGAGCAGAATATAGCTTTCGACTCTGATTGACTCTCCCACATTCCCACATCTACAAAAATCCAAAGCCACAAAACCTTCAGGAACAGTTGACCCCTCAGTTTTTCTACATTCTGATCATGGACAAAAAGAGAATTGGGGAATAAATTTCTTAAAAATTTAAGGAATGGTTTCAGATCTGCTCATACTTAGAATTTCTAGGTCTAAAATTGTATAATATTGTAATTATCTATCTAATATGCCAATTTATCCAGATCAAGAAGATAAGATAATTTTTCCTTATTGGATTTATGTATTCTTCTTTAAAAAGGGAAGGGAATGGGTCCATGGATACTACAGCAAGGTGCTGAAATGTATAACTCTGAAAATAGCTCTTCTACCTCTTGTGCTCTCTGGGACCACAGAAAAGCACAGCTTGTATACTTCTGAGTGACTAAGAGATATATGCTACTGTGATCTGCATTGACAGAAAAAAAAATTATCTTTTGAAATGCCACAGTAATTGCTATGGTTACATGTGAAAAAGCAATCTGGGCTGGCTCTATAGGAAGCATAGAGAACCACTTATATCAGAAAATTTCAGAACTACTGCAAGGCTCCATAGTGAACTTTGGAAGTCTTCCTTTCCTCCTTATAGACTTTTGATATGGACAGATTCCATGATAGCTGGGGACAGCAACAAGATCAGTAGTTACTGTGAAGAAGGGACACTGAGGTAGGTTTTCCTAGGAAGAAAAATGAACAGTTCCCTGGGATGGAGTGACTCAGATGAGTCCCAAAGGACAAACTTGCAGAATGGTGTGGAAAGAGAATATAAATCATTGACCACAAAATGGTGGATGGGCCTACTAGAGCCCACAGAGGTTTCTTTCTATCTCTATAACATTGATTTAAAGTCAGATTTTGAAAGTGACCAGAATTTTATAACTACTTTTATGGGTTTAAAAATATCTCAAATAGATCTAAAGGAAATTTATGAGTTAGATTGTTTTTGAATGAGCAGGCACCGACAGTCAAATGATTAACAGATTTTCTTCTTATTAGCATACTTCTTTAATGACAAAGTGTATACTGAAGATTTAGTTTGTTTAATAGCTACAGCTGACATTGTGATATATCACTTTAAGGTTTGCAAAGTGCTTTACAAATATTATCTCAATTTTATCCTCACAGCAGGCCTGGGAGTTTTCCCAACAAACAGGTATCTAAAACATATCAGGACATTATTAATTGTATGATCTATGGAGGAAACGAAGGCAGCTAAGATTTTCTTATGATATTGGAATTTGTAGGGCACTTGGCTCAGATTCTATGTGCTTGACCATGGAATGCCACGTTACATTTAATAATATACACTTTAATAATTATCTAGAATCCTTTCTGGAGAAGGGTACGGGAAGACTACCTTGCTACTCTCTCTTTTACATTGTTTGGATAAATGTATTTTCTCCATAGATGCTATCTAAAAGATAATAAATGTTATCTAAAAAGTGATTAATAGGCAATCTTTTTGGTAGTACCACATATTTTTTTTTGGGGGGCAATTTGGGTTAAGTGACTTGCCTAGGGTCACACAGCTAGTAAGTGTCAAGTGTTTGATCTGATGTCTGATTTGAACTCGGGTCCTCCTGACTTCAGGGCTGGTGCTCTATCTACTGCACCACCTAGCTGCCCCTGGTAGTACCACATATTAAACGATGACAATATCAATGGTATACAGAGTTCCAAAAGAAACAGGGATTTCCCATACATGATCAGGTCCTCCAGATGCTGCTATTTGCAGATGACTTTATGCTGACTATATTAAGTTCAGGACCAATGCTGAGCCTCTTAAACCCAAACCACTCAGAAGAATTTGGCCCAAGTACCCATACAGGCAAAACCAAGTGGATGCAAAATGCGTGTTGTCCAGATTCTGACATTCAGTTGTGTGGACAGTCCCTAGGAATTAATCTGGCAGGAAGTACTTCAGGCAGACACTGACAAAGATAATAAGCCAAGCCCATAATTGAACAGGGAGAAAAGAGCAAGCTAGTTTACCTTTAGGAAAATGTTCAGTGCTTTTAATGAGCCTAAGCTTCTCCCTGAAACAAAGGCCCATTTTTTAAAGAACAGTATTCTTCTAATGATGCTATCTTTCTTTCCACATGTCATGCAATCCATAGTCTCTGAAAGATTAAAACATGCTGATGACCTAAAGGGCAATGAATAGCTACGTGGTAGATGTGAGTAGGCATCAACACATCACCAACAAAGAACTGAACAACGGAAGTGGCATAAAGAATGTCATTGGATTAATGTATGCCCAGAAAAGGAAGTGGGCCGGCCAGTCATATGGTGAAAGCAAAAGGCAAACCCACAGACAGTCTTTGTGGGAAGATATGCTGCTGAGAATTTCTAGGAGGACAAGTCATAGAGTATATGAGGGTTGTGATCCATCAACCAATACACAAGCATTTCTTATGTGCCTACTATGTGCCACTATGTGCTACTATAATCCACTACTGTTGATGACATACAAAATCCAATGAAACATTATCACTAGTGAGCCAGAAACATTTTTTTGAGATTTCCTTAGTATAACTGTTCATTTCATGAGTCAAAAAGTCCATTCAATTTTATTCCTGAACTCAAAGAATTTTTAACAGTACATTTGGATTAGATAATGGTTAAATAGTTTGCTAATAGAGCTACATATTATATCATTCTCGGAATAATGCCTTTCTTTAAAAATCATCTTTATTTTCTTCCCATGGACCCCCTCAGGGTTATGGGAACTTCCTACAGCAGTACCGAAATAAAAATCTTACAGATGTAAGAGTGCCCATTACAATAGAAATTCCACAAAGGTAGGTCTGCGTGAAAACTTGTGGTCCCTTCCA